GAGAGAGAGAGAGATGCAAATGGCTCTGCGAATCTAGAGAGAGAGAGGGGGTGCAAATGGGCTTTTGCCCTGCGAATCTGGGTTCCCTTGCAAGTGTAAATTTTGGGATGAATGAGGGTTCGAGTGGTCAAGCATTTTGCTTAAAATTCTTGTTTTCAATTTACTCAGTATTTTGTTTGAAATGCTTGCCTTAAATTCACCTAACATTTTAGTAGAGAAAAGAGATTATATCTGTTAACATTGCTAATGCTGATTTTCAGATTCCTCTCTTTCTCTCAAATGCCAATATCTCAAACTGGTCAATTCCAAGTAAATGGCTCGTTCCAACTAACCGGTAAACCGGCCGGTTCGGGTAGATCCTTGCCAGTCCGAAAAGTGTTAAAAAAATGCAAAAAGTTTCATTTTTTTTTTTATAAAAACAGATGAAAAGTATATTTAAAGCATGATTAAACAAAGTATATCCAAATAAAAATTGAAAATTTACTTAAAAAAATAGATTTTAAAAAATATGTGTCGAGCGGTATTTTTTAAATTTTCTTAAAAAGGGAAATATAAAAATAAATATTTTTTACCAACATTCAAAAATTTATTTTTTGAAATTTTATATAATTATTTTAAAATTTTTTCTTTAAATACCCAATCAGACCACCAAAACCAATCGGCCAATGCCTAGTACCGATTTGAGCCAACTCCTAGAGACCGATTTGATCAGTGGGTCAGCCAATGCCTAGTACCGATTTGATCGGTGGCTCAGCCAATGCCTAGTATCGATTTGATCGGCGGGTTTCGAGTTGGATCGGTCAAACTGATTAGGAGAGTTGTTATAGTCTAAGAGTTTCATCATTTACTCTGAATTTTAAAGAGGGCTTTTAAAAATAAAGTTTATAGAAGTATGAGAGGCTCTAAACAATCAAATTAGGGTGCACCTCAAGACGCATGGACATGAGAAGAAATGGAGTGAGTTCATGTTTTGAATATAGCGGGGATAGTCAATTTTCAAGATTTTTAAATTTTTATAAATCTGCTCGATCCACACTATTTTTGAAGATTTAAATTTTATAGCTAGTAGTAAAAAATATATTTTATGGCTATCACAAAGATTTCTAACATCAAAACGATATTTCTTGACACTGTTTGAAGGTGTGTTTTACTTTGATGTTAAACACACACCCCTCTTTTATGTTAAGATGATTTGAGAGTCTGGGTACAACCTTGACAAATTTGGTTCATAAGAATGAGAGAAAAAAGATTCAACAGCTTGTATGAATCTTTAGATTTAATTTTAAATTACCTATAAATGATCCACATTATTTTTTAAGATTTAAAATTTATAGCTAATAAAAGAAAATATATTTTATGGCTATCACAAAGATTTCTAGTATCAAAATGATATTTCTCGACACTATTTGAAGGTGCTTTTTAGTTTGATTGTTTAGAGATTAAGCTCTATGCAAACCACACCCCTCTTTTGATGTTAAGATGATTTGAGAGTCCAAGTACAACCTCGACAACTTTGGTTCAGGGTCAATCTTTAACAAATTACCCGTTTAACAGAATCTTTTGATTTAATTTTAGATTACCTATAAAACATGGGATATGGTATCAAGTTTTGAAAATAGTGGGGATAGTCAATTCTTAAGATTTTTAAGTTTTTATAGATCGGCTCGATCCACACTATTTTTTAAGATTCAAAATGTATAGCCAGTTATAATAGAAAATATATTTTATGGCTATCACAAAGATTTCTAGTATCAAAACGATATTTCTCAACACTATTTGAAAGTGCGTTTTATTTTAATTGTTTAGAGCCTCAGCTTTATTCAAACCACACCCCTCTTTTAATATTAAGATTTGAGAGTCTGTGTACAACCTCTACAAATTTGGTTCAGGATCAATCTTTAACAAATTATCCGTAAGAATGAGAGTAAAAGATTTAACAACGTTAATGAATCTTTCGATTTAATTCTAAATTACCTATAAAACAAGGGATCAAGTTTGAAAATAGTAGGGATAATCAATTTTCAAGATTTTTAACTTTTTATAGATTTGCTTGATCCACACTATTTTTAAAGATTTAAAATTTGTAGCTAGTAATAGAAAATATATTTTATGGCTATCACAAAGAATTCTAGTGTAAAACAACGATATTTATCAATACTATTTAAAGTTGCGTTTTACTTTAATTGTTTAGAGACTCAGCTCCATTCAAACCATACCCCTCTTTTAATGTTAAGATGATTTGAGAGTTTGTGTACAACCTTGATAAATTTGGTTCAGGGTCAATCTTTAACAAATTACCCGTAAGAATGAGAGAAAAAAGATTTAACAGCGCGTATGAATCTTTTGATTTAATTTTAAAATTACCTATAAAACAAGGGATCAAGTTTGAAAATGGAGACAATCAATTTTCAAGATTTTTAAGTTTTTATAGATATGCTTGATCCACATTATTTTTAAAGATTTAAAATTTATAGCTAGTAATAGAAAATATATTTTGTGGCTATCACAAAGAATTCTAGTATAAAAAAACGATATTTCTCGATACTATTTGAATGTGCGTTTTACTTTGATTGTTTAGAGCGTTTGCTCTATGCAAACTTCACCCCTCTTTTAATGTTAAGATGATTTGAAAGTCCGGGTACAACCTCGACAAATTTGGTTCAGGGTCAATCTTTAACAAATTACATGTAAAAATGAGAGAAAAAGATTTAACAGCTTGTACGAATCTTTTGATTTAATTTTAAATTACCTATAAAACAAGGGATCAAGTTTTGAAAATAGTGGGGACAGTCAATTTTCAAGATTTTTAAGTTTTTATAGATCGCCTCCATTCACACTATTTTTTAAGATTTAAAATTTATAGCTAGTAATAGAAAATATATTTTATGGCAATCTCAAAGATTTCTAGTATCAAACGATATTTTTCGACACTATTTGAAAATGCGGTTTACTTTAATTGTTTAGAGCCTCTGCTCTATGCAAACCACACCCCTCTTTTAATGTTAAGATTATTTGAGAGTCCGGGTACAATCTCAACAAATTTGGTTCAAGGTCAATCTTTAACAAATTATCCGTAAGAATGAGAGAAAAAAGATTTAACTGCTAGATTTAATTTGAAATTGCCTATAAAACTAGGGATCAAGTTTTAAAAATAGTGAGGATAGTCAATTTTCAAGATTTTCAAGTCTTCATAAATCGTCTCCATCCACACTACTTTTTAAGATTTACAATTTATAGCTAGTAATAGAAAATATATTTTATGTCTATCACAAATATTTCTAGTATCAAAATGATATTTCTCGGCACTATTCGAAGGTGCGTTTTACTTTGATTGTTTAGAGCCTCAACTCTATCCAAACCACACCCCTCTTTTAATGTTAAGATAATTTGAGAGTTCGGGTACAAGCTCAACAAATTTGGTTTAGGATCAATCATACCCGTAAAAATGAGAGAAAAAATATTTAACAACTTGTACGAATCTTTTGATTTAATTTTAAATTACTTATTAAACAAGGGAAAATAGTGGGGATAGTTAATTTTCAAGATTTTTAAGTCTTTATAGATCTACTCGATTCACACTATTATTTAAAATTTAAAATTTATAACTAATAATAGAAAATATATTTTATGGCTATCACAAAGATTTCTAATATCAAGACGATATTTCTCAACACTATTCGAAGGTGCGTTTTACTTTGATTGTTTAGAGCCTCAGCTCTATGCAAACCACACCCCTCTTTTAATGTTAAGATGATTTGAGAGTCTGGGTACAACTTTGACAAATTTGGTTCAAGATCAATCTTTAACAAATTACCCATAAGAATAAGAGAAAAAAGATTTAATAGCTTGTACAAATCTTTTGATTTAATTTTAGGGAAAAGACCTTATGAGACCCTTTCACACCTATGTGTATAGGACCTCAAGGGATCACCATTAAATTTGACACATATTTCTAAAAAAGTCAAGTCCCACACCGAAGTAATAACTTTTCTAGAGATCTGTACGAAATTTAATAGTGATCATTTGGGGTCCTACACAGATGGGTATGGGAGGGTCTCATAGGATCATTATTCTTAATTTTAAATTACCTATAAAACAAGGGATT